GCCGCTGACCTGGCGGCTGCTGAGGTGGCGGCGGGAAGGCTTGCCGAGCTGGAGGAGAGGGCTGGTGGGCCGGTGCATCTGCAGCAGCTGGTGATGGGAAGGTGGAGAGCGGTGGAGAGGGGTGGAGTAGAAGCTGCAGCAGCAGGAGCGGGAGGAGCTTGGGAGAGGAAGGATGGATCAACAGTAGGTTTGGAAGCTGATGTGGGACTGGGTCAGCAGCAGAGTGACGTGGAGAGACACGTGGCAGCAGTAGAGGAATTCACTGACACGTCATCTGGGCAGGGCAGTGACGTGGCAAGACAGGTGGCGGCGCTGGAGGAGGCGCTGCGAAGGAAAGCTGCCATGCTGGCGGAGTGCCAGCTCAACTGCGCCCACCTGGAGAACCGGCTGCACGAAGCTAGGAGCGAGGCTCGGAACGAGGCACGGAGTGAGGCACGGAATTTGAAGAGTGCGGAGCAAGAAAGGGCGGAGGTAGCAGAGTGGCAGCGCAAGTGTGCGGATCTAGAGACTCGACTCCACGAGGCGAGGAGCGAGGCACGCACATTGCGATGCGCGGCGGACCGGCGGGCGGCGGAGAGCGGCGGGTTGCGGGCGGCAGCGGTGCGGCTGAGAGGGCTGATGGAGAGGATGACCCGGTGCCTTCAAGCAAACAGCCTTGGGAATGTGGTTGAGGGGCTGTCTAGTCTGGCAGACTCGCTTGGGGAGGCGATGGGTGCTGCTGCTGCCGGTGGTGGTGCTGGTCCTGCTGCTGCTGCTGCTGTGGGCTTTGCTTTGGATCTGAGCAGGAGTGCTGTTTTTCCTACTAGCAGTGCTGCTAGCAACATGGGCAGCAGCAGCATTAGCAGCAGCTCTGCTGCCTCTTCTCCTCCTGCCACTGCTGTCCCGGCGGCAGAGGAGTGGGTGGTGGCAGCAGTAAGGGCGGTGGCGGTGGGTGTGGGGCGGGTGGTGGAGCGAGGGTGCAGGGCGGAGGGGGACGCCCACCGGCTGGCACGGCAGCTGCAGCGAACGTCAGATGCACTCGTGGACATGTCTTCAAAGCATGAGCTGGTGAAGCAGGTGAGGAGTGAAGGGGAGAACAGGTGAGGGTTGTTATGCTGGCTTGTGGTGACGCCCACCGCCTGGCAAGGCAGCTGCAGCGATCGTCGGACGCACTCGTGGACATGTCGTCAAAACACGAGCTGGTGAAGCAGGTGAGGAGTGCAGAGCAGAGGCGATGGGTGACTGTCGAGCTGGTGAGACGACTTTTGAGGCGCCTCAAAAACAGGAGAGGAGTGCAAAGGCGATGGGTGACTGTCGAGATGGTGAGGTAAGGGGTAAGGCGTGAGGGGTGTGAATGAGAGCTGCAGAGGACGGCAGGCGCGCTGGTGGATATGTCTTCACAGCACGAGCTGGTGAAGCAGGTGAGCGGTTGAGGGCGGTTGGGTTGGGCTCACTGTGGTACCGTACCTCCCCCAGCTGTACCTTTCTCACCTTCATTACCCCTTATACCTCTTTCCTTGCCTTCTATTCAACTGTACCAACAGGTTGCGTGTGAGAGGCGTGAGAGGGACGCCTTCACTCGCACGACGTTGCTGCCTTTGTGCCCGTGCGGAGTCGTGTTTTGAGTCGACTCAAAACACGAAATTGCTGCCTTTGTGCCTGTGCAGAGGGCCCCCCACCCTCTCTCTCACCCCACTACCGCGCCCTCTGCTCGCCTCAGTTGTACCAACCCCCAATCGTACCTTTCACATTCTATACCCCTTGCCTCTCTCCCCTCCTTCCCTCCCTCCCGTTCAACAGATCGCGCGTGAGAGGATAGCATTCACTCGCTTCCACACGCACGACATTGCTGCCTTTGTGCCCGTGGGTAGGGGGGGGCGCCAACACTGCGCCCTCTGCACCCCTAAGCTATACCTCGCAGCTTCATTACCCCTTGTCTCTCCCTCCCTCCGTCTTGTATTCAACTATACCAACAGATCGTGCGTGAGAGGATTGCTTTCTCGCGCGATGCTGCTGCGGTGCGGTGCCGCTCTTTCTCTCCCCTCACTAGTTTTGAGGCGCCTCAAAACTGCTGCGGTGCAGTGCGGTGCGGTGCGGTGCCGCTCTTTCTCTCCCCTCACTCCCTCGCACTCTTCCTCTCCTCCCATCGCCTGTACCAACAGATTGCCCGTGAGAGGATCGCCTTCACGCGTTTCCACACACACGACATTGCTGCCTTTGTGCCCGTGGGGAGGGGTGGCCGCCACTACCGCGCGCTCTGCTCGCCCGATGGCGCTGCTGTGCCTCTCTTTCTCTCCCCTCACTCCCTCACACTCTTCCTCCCTCCCTCCCTCCCTCCCTCCCATCGTCTATACCAACAGATCGCTCGAGAGAGGATTGCCTTCACTCGGTTCCACACGCACGACATTGCTGCCTTTGTGCCCGTGGGGAGAGGCACCTGCTACCGCGCGCTCTGCTCGCCGGACGCCGCTGCTGTGCCGCTCTTTCTCTCCCCTCACTCCCTCGCACCTTCAGAATTTCTTGCCCCTCCCCCTCCCTCTCTCCATCCCTCCCTGGCCTTTCCCCTCTGGCCTCTCCCCCTGCTTTTCTCCCATCGTGTATACCATCAGATCGCACGTGAGAGGATAGCCTTCACTCGTTTCCACACGCACGACATTGCTGCCTTTGTGCCCGTGGCCGTGGGGAGGGGTGGTCGCCACTACCGCGCCCTCTGCTCGCCCGATGGCGCTGCTGTGCCGCTCTTCCTCTCCCCTCACTCCCTCGCACTCTTCCTGCAACAACAGCAGCTGCATCAGGGACTGGGGCAGCAGGGGCAGCAAGGGCAGCAGCAGGGGCAGCAAGGGCAGGGGCAGGGGGAGCAGCAGCAGGTGCAGCGACAGGGGCAGGGGCAGGGGAAAAGGCATTGTGATATGCTGTACCCTGTGATTGTGGGTCGCATCGTGCACATTGAACGCAAGATTGCTGCTTCTGAAAGCACTCCCAACACTGCCACTGCTGCTGCCGACGGTGGCATTGATGGTGGTGGTGATGCTGCCAGTGTTGCTGTCAGCGCTGCTGTTGCTGGTGCCAATGTGACTGATGCTGGTGCAAATGGTGGTGCTGATGGTGCTGATGGTGCGGACGGCAGTGTCAGAAGCAGCAGGGGTAGCACCAGCAGCAGTGCAGCCACCTCCTGCCCGTATGGGTTGTCTCCTGGTGCTCCTTATGCCGTGGTAACCATCGCAATGCTGCCTGCTGCTTCTGCTTCTCTCTCGTCTTCCACACCTTCTGCTGTTCGTGCTGCTACCGCTGCAGCTGGTGCCGGTGCTGCTGCAGGTGCTGCTGCAGGTGCTGCTGCAGGTGCTGCTGCCTGTCCTGCTGCGCCCGCTGCTGCATTTGCTGCTACTGCATCTGCGTCTACAGCTGCTGGTTCTGTTGCAGCTGTCACGGCCGCTACAGCTGCTGCAGCAAGGGTTGCAGCAGTGGCTGCTGTTGCTGCAACCATGGGAGCCACATCAGCACCAACAGAGGCGCGAGGGTTACCAGTCGGTGCACCAGATTCGGGCAGGGTTACTTTTGCTTCTGCCTTGGTTAACACAGAAACAGCAAGCCAAAGCCCCATTCCTTGAGAGTCGACTAACACTGTCAGCAGCAGAATGAGTTTCACGGGATGAGAGCTAGCATCAGCAACAGCAGACGTGCCTTTGATGCTCACTATTAGATGACTGGCAGCTTTTGAAGCGCCTGAAAGAATTCATGGAGTGGCAGGGCCCTTGGAAGGGCCCAGGATCAATCCGATAGTAAATTGAGAATTGAAAGTCAATCCGGTGAGCATCAATTTGCCAGCAGCACTTTTTGAGGCGCCTCACAAAAGGGTCCTTGGAAGGGCCAGGATAGATAAGAGAGTAAATTGAGAATTGAAAGCCAATTCGGTGAGCATCAGTTTGCCAGCAGCACCACCGGCACCACCACCAGCAGGCATTGAGTTGATTTTTGAGGCGCCTCAAAAATCAACCCAATCCGGTGAGCATCAGTTTGCCAGCAGCACCACCAGAACCACCACCAGCAGCTGTTGCTACAGCAGCAGCAGGAGCGCAGGGGAAGTCTGGGAGATCGGTCATGTGAATGACGCCTGCATATGGTATGCTGCCTGCGTATGGTGTGGTGCAGTGCGGTGCTGTGCTGTGCAGAGTGCTCTGCGGCGCAGGATGTAGTGCGGCAGACAGTGCGACGGGAGGCTTGAGTGCCTGTTCAGGATACGGTACGTAGCTAGCAGGCAATTGAGCTGCTATATACTGTGTCAGAGTACCGCATGGTGCAGTGCATCGCAGTGCAGTGCCGTGCTGTGTGGAGTGCTCTGCAGTGCGGTGCGCTGTGGTGCGGGATGTAGTGCAGCAGACAGTGTGACGTGGCAGGCTTGAGTGCCTGTTCAGGATACGGTACGTAGCTAGCAGGCAATTGAGCTGCTATATACTGTGTCAGAGTACCGTATGGTGCGGTGCAGTGCAGCGCAGTGCAGTGCCGTGCTGTGTGGAGTGCTCTGCAGTGCGGTGCGCTGTGGTGCGGGATGTAGTGCAGCAGACAGTGTGACGTGGGAGGCTTGAGTGCCTGTTCAGGATACGGTACGTAGCTAGCAGGCAATCGAGCTGTTATATATCAGCCCTGGTGCTCTCTGGGTAGGAATTATGATCTTCGCCTGAAACATACTTACTTACTACCGTACTATGTTTGAGGCTGCACTAAAGATGGAGATGGTTTAGGGTTTAGGGTTATACTGTGTGATATATCAGCCGTGGTGATCATCTGTTTCACACTGTGTTATATGAATGTACACTCCGATTTGCCAGCTACACATGGTGCGTTCGAAAATGGTATTGGAAAAGAGCCAGTCATGCACCACGGATTTGTCGATCAATGAACCACCCTAAACACATGCGCAAAGATAAAAAAAAAGCGATAAATGAAATAATCTGATTGAGTACAGCGAGAGAGATATATTACAATAAAAATGCTATCCGTAGTATATGTTTCGTTGGCCCACGCTACTCTTTTGTAATTTTAGCGAGTTCCTTCAGCTTGGTGTAGATCTCATCCACAAGTTCCTTCTTGTACTCCGTGCCCGCAAAAGGAAGGTGCTTGGAAGCGACCCGGCGGTCAAAGTAGAAGCCCCCATTGACCAGCGTTGACTCAGGTTGACTCGCCAGCCATGCTATCGTGTCCGCTCCCTCCTCTGGCCTTCTTAGCGAGGCCTTGAACCTGTGGAAAAGAGAAAAGGGGAGGGGAGAGGTTAGGCATGTGAGAGGCTGAGAGGGGAAGATGGAACGAGAATGTGCAGAGATATCCAGGCGCAGCAGCACTGAAAGCCGCAGTCGATTTGAAAGAAAGGTGCTTCTCTGGCTTGGATTTTGAAAAGGCGCTCCTGAGGATTCCCAAACGTAGCCACACTGCAGTTTCTGTCCCCTCCTCTGGCCTTGACTTTGCAGGAAGTTTTTGAAACTTCCCGAAGCATGATCCATGGATGCGTGCATGAGAGGCACATAAGCATGCACACGCACACAGGCACTGATTCTAGGGCTCACGTGTTGTAGAATCTAGGCATGCTGGTTTGGGGGTATGCACATACGCATGCACACGCACACAGGCACTGATTCTAGGGCTCACGTGTTGTAGAATCCAGGCATGCTGGTTTGAAGGACGGCCGTGTCGACCCACCCCGGGTGCATGGAGTAGAACCCCACCCCCCCCGGCTGTACCCCATATAGCTCCGCCCACTTCTCTGTTAGAGCCACCTGCAGGTGGTGCATGAATTGGATTTGTATGACCATAATTTGTATGATAATGGATTAGGGCTGGTTGAGTAAACAAGGACTGACAAGTACCAAAATAAGTCTCACTTAGAGTTGAAATATCTCATATACCATTTTGTTTGAGGTTGATTTGAGAATTCTCATAATCAACCTCAAGTCTCACCTAGAGTTGAAATATCTCATATACCCCCTCCCACCACCCCACCTCCCAAATCTCTACCCTTACCCCACTACTTCACCCACACACACACCTGTACTCTCTTGTTGCGCGCATATGCGTCAGTCCCATCAAACTTGGTGTCTTCCATTTGCAGATCGGTGGAGAGCGGTTGAGTGAGAATGCCCCCAGTTGCCACGGTGATGACTTTTGCTTCTGGAGCTGCCCGCTGCAGCAGGGGCAGCAGAGCTTCGGTCAGAACAAAAGTTCCGAGCACATTCACTGCAAAGTTGAGCTCAAACCTGGACGGAAAGAGGAAAAGGGGAAGGGTGAAGAGAGGGAAGTGGGAACAGGGCAGAGGGAATATGGAGGAGCGAAGAATGAGGAGGGAATTGGGGATTGGTTGGAGAGAGGTAAGACAGTCACCTTTTACAATCCCGCTGGCTATCACACTCACCCGTCTTCCAATATCTTCCTCTTTTTCTCCCATCATGTTTGAGGTTGATTTTGAGAATTCTCAAAATCAACCTCAAACATTTTGAGAATTCTCAAAATTAATCTCAAACATTATGAGAATTCTCAAAAATTAACCTCAAACATTATGAGAATTCTCAAAATCAACCTCAAACATTATGAGAATTCTCAAAATCAACCTCAAACATTATGAGAATTCTCAAAATCAACCTCAAACATTTTGAGAATTCTCAAAATCAACCTCAAACATTTTGAGAATTCTCAAAATCAACCTCGACCATTTTGAGAATTCTCAAAATCAACCTCAACCATTTTGAGAATTCTCATAATCAACCTCAACCATTTTGAGAATTTTCAAAATCAACCTCAACCAATGTCTTCCTCTTTTTCTCCCATCACCCCAGCATTGTTCACAAGCACGTGGATCTGTGTGTTTAGCCCCGCTGGTTGAACCGCGAGGGATCGGCCCTACACTCACGTGTCGAGGTTTGGGACGTCTCCATACTCACCCATCAGGCGACATCTTCTTTTCATGCTCCATCACCCCAGCGTGGTTCACCAGCACGTGTATGGGCGTGTCACGTGAATGCTCCCATACTGCCACTCTCACTCACACACCCTCTCACAGTGCCACCCTGACAGTGACCCTCGCTCACCCATCAGGCGACGTCTTCCTCTCATGCTCCATCACCCCAGCGTTGTTCACCAGCACGTGAATGGGCGTGCCAATGTTCCCATAGTGCCATTCTCACTCACACCCTCTCACAATAGCCCTCTCACACTCACCCACACTCACCCATCAGGCGACGTCTTCTTTTCATGCTCCATCACGCCAGCGTTGTGCACCAGCACGTGAATGGATGGGCGTGTGATCCCACGGTGTCGCACGCTCACAGTGACCCTCACACTCACCCTCTCACAGTGGCGCACTCACACTCTCACAGTGACCTTCACACTCACCCTCTCACAGTGGCGCACTCACCCTCTCACAGTGACCTTCACTCACCCATCGGGCGACATCTTCTTTTCGTTCTCCATCACGCCAGCGTTGTTCACCAGCACGTGAATGGGCGTGCCTAGCCCCGCTAGCCGATCAGCCAGCGAGTGCACTTGAGAGAGGGATGAGAGGTCGCACAGCTGGCGGAAAGGCAGGTAGGGAAGAGGTGGGGAGAGAAATGAACATTGCGTTAGAGTGGCGAAATGGACCGTCAGCACACCACAATCGATCAGCCAGCGAGTGCACTTGAGAGAGGGATGAGAGGTCGCACAGCTGGTGGGGAGGCAGGGAGGGCAGAGCAGGGGAAAGGAAGGAAAGAGGGTGTGGAGAGGTTAAGAAAGGCAGGGAGGAGGGAGCGAGAGGCAGAATGGAAACGCCTGGTCTAGAGAACCTGTCTCTCCAGCCGCTTGGTCTAAAAAAAGAACTTATTGATTTCCCTGCCTCACCTGAAGAAACACCTGGTCGTTTCCTGTTTGGGCGGCGATCTCAGAGGCTGCTGCCGCCCCTCTGGCCTCGTTGCGACACACTATGTGCACCGTGGCTCCCCTGGGGGTGTCGGGGGGGCGGGGGAGGGGAGGTTGAAACTGTGAGCAAGAGGGCAGGATGAGGCAGAAGAGGTGTCCCCCCTCTGGCCTCGTGGCGACACACTATGTGCACCGTGGCTCCCCTGGGGTTGTTTGGGGGCGGGGAAGAGGAGGAGGGGGGCACGGGGAGGGGGAAAGAAAGGGGCAAGGGAGGGAGGTGTGGATATTAGAAAGAAGGGATTGAAAGGGTGATGATGAGGGGAGGATACAGGAAGGGAGAGATTACCACTTTTCCGACCTCGTGGCGACACACTGTGTGTACCGTGACTCCCTTAAGAGGGCTGCGGGGGAAAGAGAGGGCGAGGAAGAGAGGGCGAGGAAGAGGGAATTGGGGAAAGACGAGGTTGTCGGGCTTGAGGGATTTGGGCGGGGGGGGGAGGAGGGGAAAGGGCGGAAAAAGAAGATGCGGCTCCTCCCCCCGACAACCCCCCTCCCTTTTCTTGTATGCGCCACCCACCCACCTCTGAGCCATGGCGGTAGCAGCAGCGCGCCGAATGTTAAAAGTTGAGTTTTGAGACGTCTCAAAACCCCCCACGACCCCCCTCCCTCCCTTGTATGCGCCACCCACTCACCTCTGCGCCATGGCGGTAGCGGCAGCGCGACCAATGCCCTGATTGCCCCCCGTCACCACACACACGCGCCCCTGCATGTCCCGCCGTCCCCCCCCGTCCGCTGCTGCAGGCTCGGCAGCCGCTGCACCACCATGCCGAGCCTCAGCTTCGGCGTGCCGAGCGTCCGAAGTAACACCCACTGTGGCCGCGTGATCATCTGCATCTTCGAACGACTTGGCGTGTTTCCTGGCGGTGGGTGAGAAGAAACGGGGGCGGTTTAATAATAACTTTTGTATGTATGAAATTGTGAATTATGAGTAACCTCAAAGATCAGCTGTGGCTGTCTGTTTGTCAGCATCGTCAAACGACTTGGCGTGTTTCCTGGTGGTGGTGGTGGTGGGATACGAGAAGAAATGGGGGCGTGACGGGAATGGCTAGGAGTGACGACAAGGCGGCTAGAGGTGAAGACATGGTAGGCTAGGGGGGAAGATTCGAGGGGCTTGGAGTGACGACACGGGATGCTAGGGGCGACGACACGGGGGCGAGTAACGAAGGAGAAGCCGTACAGGAAAGCACTTCGAGTGAAGTTGGCGTTGCCGTACGCGAGGAACAACGCGTTGCGCAGGACCTGCGCGGAATGGACGGGTGCGCGGAGGGATGGAGGTCGTAAAGAAAAGAACGCTTCTAGTGAACAACGCGTTGCGCAGGACCTGCGCGGAGTGAACGGGCGCGGCGGTGACGATTGAAGTAACGATCGAAGTAAAAACACGACATTTGAAACAGTGCGTAACTACGGTAAGACTACACTGCAACGTTAAATGACGAGCTAGAGCTTACGGAAATCCAGGAGCACGAACCTGCATGATGGCGCGAGAGAAAAGCCGAGCAGAACAAGGCTGACTCTAAACGCTTAGAGGGAGTCCGACGAAATAAGCTGGAGTAAGATATCGAGTGCTAGAGGCGCTAATTGCCAGTGCGATTACTCGCGCCTCAGGTCAGGAAGCTGTCGTTTGAAACGAATATTCCTGGAAGTCCGTCAGTCACGAAAGATCGAGGGACGTCCTTCACCCACGTCAGCAGTAGACTTGCCTTGTGTCGCGGTGCTCTCTGGGGCGAGATACAGCATGCGAAAGTTAAGACTCTAGCGAAATTCGCTTACTCTCGTCTCTAGAGTTTTGAAGTGGTGGAATGGAAGTTGGTGCATGTTGCGTTACAGCTTCTGTAGTTTTTGCGAAGTTAGCGACAGCGAATGTGGGGGGGGGTGACGTCAACATTATGTGGCACAGGAGGACTACTGACTGGGGAGTGACGTGGTGCGGCTGCCTCCATTACATGCTATACTCTTGTGGTCCATGTGGCATTCGACCAACATTATGTCTACACGTGGAGAGTACACGCAAAAAAGGCACTATAACTAGTACAGTAAATAATGAAAACCAGTAGGCAGAGGCCCTTCGCTTACTAGGCCACACGTGTCCGAAAGTTGCGAGCACTTGTGCCAATGAGAGGGGCGGTGTCTCCGGAACCCGAGCCTACGTTCCCCGCGAATTGAAATCAAGGCTGGTTACCAGGCCTGATCCCCAATTTCGATTGCACTCAAACCAAAACCTCCCGTCGCCGAGATTCTCGAGGCAGGCGATTCGGCCATGATCGCGGTCCGAGAGCCGAAATTGATCAGCTTGTGAATTGTGCTTGCGCCCCAAGCCAACCCAACCAAAGCCCCCGCTCCGAAATCACTCATGCCTGCACCAGCGAAAAACCCGTCATGTGTCCGCATCATGTTTTTCGCTCCTAAGCCTAAACCGAAGCTCCTTATCCACCTCCGTCGCCGCCTTATCCGATCCTTAGTCTCCTCAAGCCTTCTCATAAGGGCCATTCCGCAGAGGCAGCATATACTTCATCACTCTTACTCTTCCCTGCTTGACAAGTCGCCCTGGATGCCCATACTTGCTCCAGAGCGTGATCAACCTTCCGACTGCTCCAATGAACGCCGTCGGCAGTAGTAGCTGTCTTAGCATTAGGCCGTTCCAAGACTCAGAACCTCTCCTAGACATCCCAGGGCCTTATTACATGGCCGAGGACATTTTCTGCCTCATTCAGCAGCCTAGCAACGATCCAGACAGTGGAAACACCAGCTCTCACGCTGAGGCCGCGTTAAGACTAGAATCGTCTAGTTCCCCTTCTCCAGAGCGTCAATCTCATCTCAGATTGTGCACCACAGGCAACGATCGAGGATCCAACGGACAAAAACCCCCGTATCCCGCGGCGCGTGCCTCTGATGGCAACGCGGCGGGTAGTACTGCCGTCCAGATGCCCCTGATCGCGCCAGGGAGCGTCAGCGCGGACATCCTCGCTAGTAACGCCCCCGATAACCTTGACGAGTCTCTATTTCTTCCTCATTCAACGCAGACCAATGCTGGTGCGCTGGCTAACAATAATACTAACGCTTTTGGCAGATCGTTCTCCATTTACGAGCCTGGCAAGGGCGACCAATCGCTGCTGCTCCACCACGCGGATCCCACGTCTATCCCCGCTACAGGCGCGGAACTCGTCCACTACCATCGCCCCTCTAATCGAAGCACTGCCGCCACTCACAACGCCGCCACCTTCGCCTCTGACTGCAAACCGTCGCCAAGTGTCAATGAAGCGGATTTCGCGAATTACCCAGCTTCGAGCTTCGCTGGCGCGTCCGGCGCAACTGAAAGCACGTACGCGGCCGTGAAAGCCGACGAGAATGCCTTCAAATCCGCACCAACTCAGCAACGCGATGATCCAAGCGTCGCCAGTTTCTCCCAGCAGCAGCAGAATCAAGGCATGCAATTTGACGGGAGAATCTTGGGTGTTGGTGTTGAGGGAAGAGTTGGGAGAGGAAATGTGTTGCAAAAGACAGGAGGGGGGTTGGGTTGCGGAAATGCGGTAACCACCGAAGCAGCTCTCGCTGACGATGGTTTCTTCGCTTCTATGCTTGACGACATCGATTTCGCACCCGTTGTTGTTGGGTCGGCGGCTCTAACGACAGGTTACCAAAATTCTGGGTTGAACCAGAACCCGAATGCGGGGGTTCTGGGTTCTGCGTCGGAGTCTAGGGAGGGCGTTGGCTCCTATTATCAAAACTACGGCGAATTCTCTCATCAGCAGCAGCAACCATTACAGCAGCAGCAGCCGCAGCAGCAGCCGCAGCAGCAGCCGCAGCAGCAGCCGCAGCAGCAGCCGCTGCAGGCGCAACTCCAGCCGCAGTTCCAGCAGCAACCGACGCAGCCGCCGTTTGAGTGTAACATTAGCGGTAACCATCAGCAGAACGTCGCCACCGGTAACTTCGCTTACCACCGCGGCAACCAATCGTCGCCATTAGGGTCCAACAGCGGGTTAGCGACCCACGCTTCTCCGCCAAACGCGCAGCCCGTCGCTTTTCCCCCCGTCAAACCCGCCGCCTATTCCGCAAGCGCCGGTGCGGGTAACATCCAATTCGCGCAGTCCTCGTACGATTCGCCGCAGCCAACCCTTCCGCCGCCCGCGCTCCCGCCAAGCCATCCCGCCGGCCCCTCCCACCCGCCCGCGGTTGTTTTTTACGGCGCTTCTGCTGTGACAGGAGGGTATTGCGGAGATTACGGCGCGCCTCATGTGCCCCCTTGCGCGGGTCTTCCGCTTCCGCAGCCCGCGTCCCCGCTCGTCGTCTCCCCCCCTTCTTCCTCTCCGCCGTTCCCCGCTCAACCTCCCCCTCCCCGTTCCCTTACGCCGCCTCCGCAAGCGGAATGGCCGGCGCAGGTTCTAGCCCAGCCGCCGCAGCCGCAACTGCAGCTGCAGCAGCAGAACCAGCCGAGCGTGTGGCAACCGCAGAAGCCGCAGCAACCCCAGCAGCAGCAGCAGCAGCAGCAGCAGCAGCAGCAGCAGCAGCAGCAGCAGCAGCAGCAGCAGCAGCAGCAGCAGCAGCAGCAGCAGCAGCAGCAGCAGCAGCGGGTGCAGCAGGTGCAAGAGCAAGGGTGGTCGCAGGATGCGTCGCAGCAGCAGCTGAAGCGAGTGCGTGGAGATGCTTATGTCGCGTACGAACGCCAAGGGGATTTCATGATGTCACGAGAAAGCGCTCCGCGTCACCTTGGCGTGACCCAAGCTGAGTTGCCTCGGTCTGACGTGTCACAAAACCAGAGGAGCCCTGTTGTCCACGTGGCACACTCAGGGGGTGGTGGACATGGGGGATGGGGCTCCTCTAACCTCGGTACACTCACATCCGTTAAGAGGCACTTTTCAGGGACCATGATTTCACAGCAGCAGCAGCAGCAGCAGGGGGTGCCGCAGACACATCAGCAACACGTTCAGCCGAGTCAGCAGGGATATTTGCAGCAGCAGCGAATGCAGTATCGCCAGCAACAGCAGCATATCCTGCAGCAGCAGCAGCAGCAGCAGCAGCAGCAGCAGCAGCAGCAGCAGCAGCAGCAGCAGCAGCAGCAGCAGCAACCACAACAGCGGCAAGAACAGCAACAGCACCACTCTTACCAGCAGCGTTATCAGCCACAACAGCAGCAACATTCATATCAGCAGCAGCAGCAGCAACAGCAGGCAATGCAGCAGCAGGCACAAAACACCTACTACGCACCTCCGGTCCCTCGGTCTGCCCCCCCACCCTCCACTCCCCCACCCATGCGTGCCCCTCTCCCCCCGCCTCCCCCCACCCCCATTGGCACTCTTCCTCCTTTCTCCCCTGCTGTGCCTACCTCTGCTGCAACTGCCGGTGCAGCTTTTGGCGGTTCCATTGCTGTTGGTGGGACTCCTGCTGCTAGGGCTGCTGCTGGTAGCAACGGTGGTGGTAGTGACGATGGTACAGAGGCAGCAGAAGGGGCGGACGAGGATGGGCAGGGAAACGCCACTCAGGATTCGGAACAACAGGTACACCCCCTTTCTCTCCTTTTGTTTTTTTTAGCTATTCCCTTCTCACTTTTCCTTGCCTGCTCCACGTGTGCATCCTCTCTATTGCTTCTTTCAACTGCCTGGATCCCACAAATCAGCTGCCCAATTCATCCCTCCGTTCTCTGCCTGCTCTCTCTGCCTTGTCTCTTAACCCTTAACCGCCCATCACCGCTCACCACCCATCAGGACGAGCCTATCCGGCGCAAGGGCCCGCGCACCAAGTTCTCCAAGGAGGCAGTCGACTGCCTCAACTCACCCCTCTGTGCTCTGCCTTCTCCTTTGCCCCTCAACCACCAATCCCGCCTGGCCCTACCCTCCTCAACCCTCACCTCATAACAGGACGAGCCTATCCGGCGCAAGGGCCCGCGCACCAAGTTCTCCAAGGAGGCGGTGGACTGCCTCAACTCATCCCTTGCCTCAACTCGTCCCTCTGTGCTTGCCCTTCTCTCCCCGCCCTACTCTTAAAACAGGACGAGCCTATCCGGCGCAAGGGCCCGCGCACCAAGTTCTCCAAGGAGGCGGTCTACTGCCTCAACTCATCCCTTGCCTCAACTCGTCCCTCTGTGCTTGCCCTTCTCTCCCCGCCCTACTCTTAAAACAGGACGAGCCTATCCGGCGCAAGGGCCCGCGCACCAAGTTCTCCAAGGAGGCGGTCGACTGCCTCAACTCATCCCTTGCCTCAACTCGTCCCTCTGTGCTTGCCCTTCTCTCCCCGCCCTACTCTTAAAACAGGACGAGCCTATCCGGCGCAAGGGCCCGCGCACCAAGTTCTCCAAGGAGGCGGTCGACTGCCTCAACTCATCCCTCCCTGCTCTGCCTTCTCTCCTTGTCTCTTGCCCCGCTATCGCCCATCAGGACGAGCCTATCCGGCGCAAGGGCCCGCGCACCAAGTTCTCCAAGGAGGCGGTCGACTGCCTCAACTCGTGGTTCCTCTCGCACCTCCACCACCCCTACCCCACCG